CTGTGTGTTCAGCCATGCTCCTGCGTGTTCTGCTGTGCTCCTATGTACTATGTGTGTTCCGCCGTGCTCCTCGTGATCCTGCGTGTTCTGCCGTGTTCCTATGTGTTCTGCCGTGCTCCTTCGTGATTTGCCGTGCTCCTGTGTGTTCTGCCGCGCTCCTGCTTGTTCTGCCGTGCTCCTATGTGTTTTGTGTGTTCTGCCGTGCTCCTGTGTGTTCTGCCATGCTCCTGCGTGGTCTGCCGCACTCTTGCTTGTTCTGCCGTGCTCTGCCGTGCTCCCCCTGCTCCTGTGTTCTGCCGTGCTCCTGTGTGTTCTGCCGTGCTCCTGTTTGTTCTGCCGTGCTCCTGCGTGTTCTGTGTGTTCTGTCGTGCACCTGCGTGTTCTGCCGTGCTCCTGTGTGTTCTGCCGTGCTCCTACGGACTCAGCGTGTTCTGCCGTGCTCCTCGTGTTCTGCCGTGCTCCCTTGTGTTCTGCTGTGCTCCTGTTTGTGTTTGTTTGTCGTGTTCCTGTGTGTTCTGCCGTGTTCCTGTGTGTTCTGTGTGTTCTGTCGTGCGCCTGCGTGTTCTGCCGTGCTCCTGTGTGTTCTGCCGTGCTTCTGCGTGTTGGGTTGCAGTGATCCCGCCCATGTTCTGAAGATGTCTCATGCGAAAGCTCAGTTTTAACACGCATGGTCTTAAATGAGCCTTTGCAGCATCTCATTGTTTCGAGGATGTCTCATGCGATATCACCATTTCCACACGTTCGCTAAATTCGCGGCTGCCATTTTCCGGTGGGTGTCTCGGGCGAAATGCTTGTTTGTGTGAAAGACGGTGTTGCGAACACCTCATTTTGATAAGGATGCCTCGAACGAAATGCTCAATTTGCGAATATCGAGGGCGCTCTTGGGGTCCTATGGGGCCTCGTCTGGGGCTCGTTTGGGGCTGCCTCGATGCCATCAAACATATGTCAATGCGATGTCGCACACATCTCTGTTGTGAGGATGTCCCTAGAGAAATCGTCATTTTTAGAAGCCTGGCTTGGGCCGTATTGAGCGATCCCACGACGTCGTTAGAGCAGCAGTTTGTTTAGATTATGTTGCTGTATTTGTTCATTGTTTGAGGATGTCCCGAGCGGCATCTTTCGGCAGTCATCAGGGCGTTCTTGGAGCCATATTGAGGTCATTTGGGGGGTCTCATTTCTTCTTGAATCACTTCAAGGACGATGTCAAGACGATGTTGAGAACATCTCATTTTTCTGAGGATGTCCCTAGCGAGGTGCAAAATTTCAGCCGTGCTCCTTTTCCTGGTCCGCCGTGCTGCCGGGCATTCTCTGAGGAGGTCCCTGGCGAAGACGCCGTTTTCAACATAAGCGGCCGTACAGCACCTCCGTCGACATGTCATTGTTGTTGGGATGTCTCAGGCGAAACGCAGTTTGTTGCATGTGCATGAATTTCGCGGCGATCAGCTTTTCGAGGACGTCTCGAGCGAAACGCTTGTTTTTCTTAGACGCGATGTCGCGAATCTGTCATTTGTGTGAGGATGTCTCTGGCGAAATCGGTATTTGAGAGAATTTGCCAGTGAAAAGACCCGTGCGATCCGCCGCCCTCTGTTACTAAGAGATTTTTAGATATGACGCAGATTCAGCCACAACGTCCAGCTCGCTTCTCGTACCTCGAAGATGCTTCTCGTCATCTGACAGGAAACCTTGCTTCAGGAGTCGGCAGCAAACCTGCAGAAATCCTCAGGGGTCCTTCGGACATTCCACAGGAATCTTCAGACAGCTGTAGGAGGCTCGAGGAATCCTCCGGAGCCTGAGGGAAACCGTCGGTCCTCAGGGCCGCGGACACATTTCGGGGGAGCGTAAGACCCGGGTTTGCTAGGACTCGGGTTCGCCATCGCTTTTTGACGACCGCGCCTCGGATTTTGACGAGGAGGAGTTCCGTGGGATGTCTGCAGCGGGAGGCCTCGTCAAAATGCAGGCTCGGCCTCGTCATTTTTTGACGACCTCATCGGGGATTTCCGAGTCCCCTGTACCCAGGTCTTACGTCCCCCTGAACATTGTAATCATTACGGATTCTGGCGCTGGGGAGCGCGGACGCAACGTACTTTTATCAGGGATCCTGGCCACGGGAGCGCGGCGCAGCGTGATTTGCAAGATGTCGCGGGCCTCGGAGTGCGCAGGCATTGTCATTTCTAACGGATCGTGGCCCTGGGAGCGCGGGCGCCGTGCAGTTCACAAGAATCGGGCCCTGGGAGCGCGGACGTTGCGAAGTTTGCAAGGGAGCCTTCAGCAACCCGCTGGAGTCCTTTCAAGAATCCTCCAGGAAGCATTCTGGACGCCCCCAGGATTCAGAAGAGCAGGCCCGCGATGCCGACGTTCGCGAGAGCGCGATCTGATGAAACAAACCCGTCCTCCATCTGTGAAGCTGTTGCTATATTTTGAAAAGCGAATCTGCGCGGCGCGGAGGCGAGAGCCACATTTTCGCTGGGAGGGGTGGATCAATAATTGGTTCCCAGGGTTAACGTATGCGCCTGGTTCTAACAAGACCATCCCCGTCATACGGTGAGCGGTTGTAATGTGTGAGCGTTTTATCGTAAGTTGTAATGCTGTTGGGAGGGTCACCCGGGGGGTAAGTGTTTCTTGTTTTCATGCAGGTGTTTCTCTTTGAATGTAGCGTGCTCTGCGTTTCCGGACTCCTGGGCCCCTCCCGGGCCCCGGACTGGTCAAAGGTAGTTCGGGGTGAATTGCTGGTCCCGGGCGGGAGTTGATCGGCCTGTTTTCCACCACCACCACCATAAGTTGGAGGGGGAGGGGGTCCTCCTCCTCCTCCTCCTCCTCCTCCTCGTCCTCCTCCTCCTCCTCCTTCCCCCTCCAACTTATGGTGGTGGTGGTGGAAAACACGCCCATCAGGAGTAGGACGAGGACGGACTCGTTCCAGAGCCTTCAGCTCCGGCATGCTCTGGGACGGCTGCGGCGCCCGATGCACCCGCCAGACCCCCGCCGACTCTCGGAGACTGTCGATGTATATCGGTCCGATGCTGTCTCGATTCTCCTCCTCCTCGTCCTCGTCCTCCTCCTCCTCCTCCTCCTCCTCCTCCTCCTCCTCCTCCTCCTCCTCCCCCCCTCCTCCTCCTCCTCCTCCTCCTCCTCCTCCTCCTCCTCCTCCTCCTTCTTACGGTCAAAGGCAGCTCGGGTTGAAGCGCTGGTCCCGGGGGCACTGCACCGTTTCGGTGCTCCAGAGTTTCCTTTCACCCTTTTCCGTCGTGCCAGCGCAGGGCGGGGGCGGCTCAAGAGGGGTGCTGACTAGGGGGGGGCTCCTCTTTCCTCAGTGCGCCCCCGGCCTCTTCCCTCTGGCCCGCGCACATACACCGATCCATGATCTGCGACCCAGAGATCCAACGTATTGAACAAATAAAGACGGATTTGTTGAACCAAAAAGTTTGTGGCCTCTAGAAGACCTCGCTGGGCCTCGGGACCGTCAACAAAACGACTCGGGATGAAAAACCGGTCCCGGGGAATGGGTCGAAACTTCCAGGGACCCCGCATCGAAAAAAGCACGACGTCGGATGTCTGGGTGCATCGAGCCATGATTTGCGACCCCCCCTCTTGCACGCCCCCCTCTTGGACGCCCCCGACCTCAGGGGCCCCTTTCCCTCCTGCCAGCGCAGGGGGCGCCGCCTCCGCTGCGGGCGGCAGAGGTTCGGCTTCTTGAGTCAGGCCGAGGCGGCTCCTCGGGATGGAGATTCGCTGCTCCCCAGACATCGGACATCACCCCCGACGTCGAAAAAAACGATACGTTGTTTATTCATCGTTTTCGGCCTCTCGGGGCCCTCACCGGGCCCAGGGACCATCAAATAACGACTCCGGACGAAACATCCGGTTCTGGGGCAGTGGTCGAGCATTCGGGGGCCAAACCGAGACGTTGGATGTTTGGGACGTCCGAATGATTGTTCAGTCCAATTCGGGCGTTTTCTTCAGTTTCGCCAACCATGGAGGTTTTTCGGCCAGGAACATGTATGTTATATTATGTTATGTTCGTCCAGCGCTCAATGGCAAATAGCGACCCAAACGCAGTATATGGATGTGCTCACCACTTTAAGCCGAGTAGTGTCGCATCTGGCCGCAGGACCATTGTTCCGTAATCCTCAGCGCTCGAGCAGGTCCAGCCTATGCTTTTTTTGGGGCCAGGACGTGGTTCCCGAGCTCGCCCAAGGAATCTCGAACAGTCTCCTCCTCGTGGCGCAGGCGCCGTCCCCCTGTCGTGACTGCCGCCCTGTCGTGCAACGCGACTGCCCTGCCGTGGAGCCGACTCACGCGACGGAGATCTTCCACGAGCGGGCGAACCCAGTGGAGCACGCGGGGCTGATCCTAGGGACCTTCCTCACTGGACTGGTGGCGGGCGGACAGCTTGCGCGCGGGAGTTTCAGCAACATCTGGTGTCATCGTCGTCTTGCGTCTTCCCGGCCGCTGGGCAACCCGCACCCTGTGCTGGCGACCTGCACGCTGAGGACGAGATCGCCGTGCTCGCCCGTCGGCAGCAGGCGCAGGCTTGCTGGCGCGTCGGCGCCCGCATCTAGAAGCAATGGCGGCGGCAGCCGCAGTCGCGCATCCTTTCGGCCTTCGTGAGGGAGACTTCTTCGCCACGAGGTACAATGTTTTAGGGCGTGAGCTGTGGCATTTTCGAGTCTGCTGCGAAACGCCGCCCAGCTACCAGACTGGAGTGACGGTCATGACGCCAGACCTTGACGAGTACGAGGAGGATTTGATGATAGGAGCGGACGCTTTTGACTGGGTCGCGATCGCCGGTCCGAATGGAGTGGTTCCTCACGCTGGTCCGAACGCCGCGTACTACAGGTTCCGCGTTATCCCGACCGTCGCCCAGCTGACAGCGGCCCGAACCGCGGGCTACCAGCGGATGGGTTTAGTCCCGCCAGCTGGATACGTGCATCCTCTGCTGGGGGGCGCTCCCGCACCCGCGGCAACCCCTCCAGCCGCGGGGGTTGGCGCAGCTGCCGGCGCTCATGCTGCAGCCCATGACGGTGCTGCTCCCGGGGTGGCCCCTGGCGGGCCTGGTGGGGCTCCTGGTCCGGGTCCCGGGGTCCTGGGTGCAGGGGCGCCAGCAGCAGCGCCGCCTGCCGCGCCCATGCCCGCCGCTGCCGGCGGAACCGGCGCGGATGGGCTAGCGCCGGCGCCTGCAGGGGGCCTGGCGCGTCTCGCCGCTGCTCTCGGCCCGCCACCAGCAGCAGGTGCAGCCGTGGGCGTTGCCGGGGGGGCCGCGCCTGCCGACGGGGCGGGTGGCCTTTGTGGGCGGGGGCGGAGCACCAGCTGGTGCGGCCCTTACCCCCGCGCTTGTCGCTGCCGTCGCTCCTCCGCCGCCTGGGGGCGGTTCCGATGCTCGCGCGAACCTTGTGAACGCTACTGGCCAGCGGTTTCGTGAGTTCAGAGATGCTGCGTCGCTGTTCACTGAAGATCCGTGGCCCGACTGGCCTGTCAGAGGCCCTCGTGCAACGCTGTGGGTTTGTAGGTTCATTCTGTCCGACGGAGGTACTCCCTTGACGCCACAACAGGTGGCGCGCGGATTGCAGGCTCCACCCTGGCGATCCCCGCGTCGACTCCCGCGAGGGAGGCTGTTGGTTTTTAGAGACTCTCGCTGATTATGATCAAGTAAATGCGCCCAACATGGCTGCTGCTGAGATTGTCGCTCGCGAGATACAGGTCGCTGAAGAGCGATCTCGTGACGAGGTCGTTGGTGATCGCGGTGACCGGCTCGATTCTAACCTTGCTAGGGACGCTGATCTGGTGCGCGGGAATCTTTGCGTCATGCCTGAGCTCACTCAGTGGATCGCGAGTGAACTTGCCGAGGAGTCAGCTGTCATGAAGGGGCGTCGGAAGGCGCGCGAGGAGCCCGCCCTTACGCGCCCAAAGAAGAAGGGCAAGGAGCAGCGGTGATGTCACCCTCGCCAGCCCTGCGCCCGGCTGGTGCGCCTGCTCGTGCTGGAATTAGTTGCACCGAGGCAGGTTCGCAGTGCCCGGGACGGCGCAGGGATTCGTTCCTCTTCCTATTCCGAGCTGTCAGAGCCCCCCCTCGCCTTGGGACATCGCTCTCACGAGGCGCGCCCCGCAGGCTGGCTAGGAGCTCGCATGCGATAGACTGGGCCTCGGATGACACGACGTGTCTCAACGAATTGGTTGGCTTCAACACCCCGGCATCTTCGGTGCGGAATGCCAGTCAGGCGGCGGCGCTTAGCAACATGGAGTCGGTTCATCTTAGTGTGCCGCCTCCGCCCGGCGACCCTGGGTTTCGCGGTGGAGCCCTCGACGCGCTCTTTGCCGGGCCGGGCCTCTACCCGGAAGAGGCCCCCACCCAACGGCCGCATGTCATGAGCAAGGTCTCTTGGCCAGCGCGGGGCAACGCTCCTGCGTGTCTTTCAGACAGCCCCGCTCAGGCCGACTCGAAGTGGCTCGGCCTCTGGCGCGGTCGCACGCTAAGATCGCCTGCTGCCGCGGATTTGCTGCGCGCGGAACTGTGCCCGACTGGCCCCTACGCCGATCCGATTTTGAAGAACAGCCTTCTTGCTAACGGCGATTGTATCTCCGAGCTGAGGCAGCGGGGGATGGCGAGGTATCGCAGGGCTGCTGGACGAGGTTCCACTGTCGGAATATTCCTCGGCGTCAGAAAGTCAGGTGACATCGGGCTCGTATCTGATGCCCGGGCCGCGAATACCAGTTTTGTGGATCCCCCTCGGACTCGCCCCCCCACTCCCGGGGTTTTTGCAGGCTTTGGGAACGTGGGTCGGGGCGTCTTTTTCGCTGCCAGGGACATAGCGTGCTCGTTGCATAGGCTTGCCATTCCAGAGGGACTCGATGAAATTTTCAGACTGCCAGCCATCGCAGCTAGGCGCTTAGGCATCGTCGACGTCGATGGCTCGCCAGTCGCCCCGAATGACATGATCGCTCCGTGTGCAAGCGTGCTTCCCATGGGTTGTTCTTGGGCGCCACAGATGTGTCAGGGTGTACTTCAGCTTCCCCTTCTGCTGGAAGGATTCGACTCGCCCCGCATCGTCGAGGATGGCGTGCCTCCTGTGTCCCCAGCGCTCAGACACGGCCAGTGCGGGTTATGTGGATAACTTCATGATCTTGGGCTCGGACCGCCGAGCAGCGCAGACCGGCCTGGAGAGCGCGCGCAGGCGTTTGAAGTCTCTTGGCCTCTTGTGCACGAGTTATGCACCGCGAGTCGTGACGTCTCGTTCGTGGGGTTGAGGCTTAGAGGGGTCCATGGCATTCATCAAGCCGAACAACGCGCGGCGCCCCAGGCACGGCATCGAGCCACTGCTAGGGCGGGGAGCGTGTAGCGGGTCGGCGCTGCAGGGCGCGATGGGTCACGTGACTTGGGCCGCCCTTCCTCGTCGCGATGTGTTCGCGCTGTTCAGTGCGTCTTGCCTGTTTGCGCAAGCTGCTGGCGAGCGCCCGCAGAGGATCTGGCCGCGTGCGCGCCATGAGTTGTGGACCCTCCGCTCCATCCTGCCTCTCCACTTCGCTAAAATCGACATCCCATGTCATGACATCATCGCAGCCTCAGGTGCCTCCCGCTTCGGCATCGGAGCGTGCACTCTCGTTGCGTCGCTGGAAAATGGCGAGAGAGGTAGGCAGATCTGCGGGGCGCTGGAGATGCCAGGCAGCTGGTGCTGATCGTGCTAGAAAACATGCGTTGGGACGTCTTGTTAGCAGTCGTCCCCCTGTCGATGGTGATCGCAATCCTGGGCCTCCTGTTCCTGGGCCTGCTCAGCCTCTTGCGGGGCCTCCACGCGGCGCCGGAGGGGCTCCGCGTGACACCGCGCCGTTCGAGGGCATCGAGGATCTCCAGAAGTTTCTAGAGGCATCGGAGGCCGCGTTCGAGCAGGCGCCGGAGGTCGTGCTGAAGGGTCCCTGGGTTACGGTGCTCGCCTCAAAGGTTCTAGTGGATGCCAATGTACTGGAGCTCGAGGGGGAGGCCGTGATGGTGGCCGCCAAGCATGTCATGAGGTCGTCGGAGGCTTCCAGCCGCCGGGTGGTCCTCCTGGCGGAAAACCCACCGCTGGCGTTGGCGGCCTGCAAGGGCCGAGGGGCATCTCGTCACCTTCTGCATCCCCTGCGTAAGCTGGCCTGCTTATCGTTGGTATCTGGCACTTGTTTCCAGAGGCAAGTGGAACCTCGGATGCATCCTCGCCCTGTGGATCGCTGCTTCGGATCCATCCTCGAGGGCGTGGGCGAGCTGGCGGTCCAGCGGGCGCGCGCCGCCGCGCCCGCTCAGCGTGGCTCGGCGGCTCCCGCGGATGGCGCCGGAGCCCTTGCCAGGCAGGTGGCCTCGCCAGCGGGCGAAGCCGGACTCGCCGGCAGGCGTGCTGAAGGAGCGGCGGGTAGCCTCCGCGCCTCGCCTCGTGGTGGCTCGCACTCTGGCGGGCTGCTTCAGCCTGCCGGAGAACCTGGCTGCGACGCCGGGCACGGAGCTGCCGCGCGTGGGCGCGGCGGCGCTTTCCCTGCAGGGCTGCCGGGGCATTGGCGCGGATTGGCAAAGCGCGTGCGGGACCCCCTGCTGGCCTCGTTCTTCAACGCGCGATTTCTTGAGGGAGCGAGCGGCGAGGACTGCTCGAAGCTCATGGCAGGTCTGTCGCACCTCATCCTGGAGCTGCACAAGATGACGACCGTGAAGCTTCCGCGGGCCAGCCGCTGCCTGGTCGCCGGGCACAGGGGGTCCCTCCGCGCATGCGGCTGCCGCTGCCCCGCGCGGCGGCGTTCGCGCTGTCTGGGTGTCTCCGCCACCTGGGCTCCTTTCGCATGTGCCTCTTAGGGGGGGGGTCGCGTTTAGTTGCGCATCTCAGGCCCCGCGTGGCGTTCCTGCTTCGCGGGAAGCACCTAGTCGCCCCGAAGGTCGCGGCGGGCGGGCAGTGCAGCTCGCGGGGCCTGCTGCTCCACGACGCGATGCTGGGCGATCCCGGCAGCGCGGGAATGTTCGACGCCGCGGCGCGCTGGACAGGTGCGAGTTGCTGCTGCCATGCCTCGAGGCGCTGGAGGCGCAGCCGCTCGACGTCGGCAGCCCGTTGGACTTCTCGACGGCCGAGCCGCAGAGACAGCGCGGCAAGACGACTCGCCTGCTGCACGCGATGGCGAAGGTGTCCGAGGACGTCTTCGCATGCGCGGCCGCGCGGTGGAGGCGAACCTCATGGGCGCGATGGCCGAGCGTTTCGGGAGTCCGCTATGGCCGGCGCGGCTGCCGCCGCGCATCGGAGGCTCTGCTGGGCCCATGGCGGGGGCTGCCGCGCGGGCTGCTGGGGACTTCTCAGAGCACGAGGCGCGGCGCTACTTGCAGCGCGCCTTTCGTGCCGGCGCTCTGCCGTGCCCAAGATTCACGAGGCGCTCGGTCTTTCTTGAACTCTTCGCTGGCGGCGGGCGCATCGCCAGTGCCGCTCAATAGCTTGGTTATCGTTCGCTCCCCTACGATCTGCTCAGCAGCGCTCGCGAGGACCACCTCAATCCCGCGCTTGAGAAGGTCATTGTTGGGTGGCTGACCTCGGGATGTATTGTGGCGCTGTGGTTGGGCACTCCCTGCGCAGCGTGGACGCGCGCCCTTCGCCGCCTCTTGCGGAGCAGCTCCGCCCCGTTTGGAGTCGACGGCCTGACTGGCGCTGAGCTTGAACGCTTGCGGATCGGCAGCGCTACGTTTCTTTCCAGTATCGTGCTCATCAACATATGCTTTGCTGCCGATATCCCTGTCTTCCTCGAGAACCCTCGGACGTCGGTCACGTGGTGGACAGGGCGGATAAAATATCTCATGAGTAGCCCAGTCTCTTTTCGATGCATGCCGCGATTTCTGTCAACTTAAAAGTCCCCTGGCAAACTGCAACTAGAAAAGCTGCGTGGCACGGTAGCCGCCCGCCATCCCTTTGCAAGCGCTGTTCTGGCTAGCGTGGTGTTTGCAGTCTGACGAACAAACGCCATATCAAGTTGTCCAGCAATGCTCCCGGAGGGCACCAATGGACCCGCAGTGCCTCTCCATATTTGGTTCAGTTTACCAATGCTGCCGATGAGAACATGGTCCTGGTTGCTGAGAATATAACTCATAGGCTGAAAAGTGTTTCACTGGGCCTGTAATGCGGCCACGTTTGGCCAGTCCTCCTGTGCGGCATCGGGTGCTTCGCGTCCAGATGCTCAGTACCGATCGCTCTCTGACCCCTCTTTCAACTGCAGTCTGAATCTCGACTGCGGCGGCCCCGACGCGGTGCCTTCGCGCTCGCCCTAGGACTTTTGGTGAAAAAGCAGCGTCTGGTCAGAGTAGAGAGCGCCCGGGCTGGATGTGCACACCACTTCAAGCCGAGTGGTGTCGCATCTGGCCGTAGGAACACTGTTCGGTGATCCTCAAGGCTCCCCCCCACCCCTTTTCACTGCCCGCTGTCGGGCGCTTCGCGTCCAGATGCTCAGCGCCGATCGCTCTCTGACCCTTCTTTCAACTGCAGTCTGAATCTCGACAGCGGCGGCCCCGACGCGGTGCCTTTGCGCTCGCCTCACGGTTTTTTACATAACAGAAACATCGCCTGATCAGAGTAGAGAGCGCCTGGGTTATATATATATATATATATATATATATGTGTGTGTATATATATGTACACATATATAAAATGCAGTACTATATATAAGTATAGATAAGGCCATACTACACATATATGTATGTAGTGCCATAATAACCAGCCAGGCAAATATACAGTATACGTTGTCCTGTGGCGTTTCTACGAAACCCCATGGGACAGGGCCCAGATACCTTAGAGTGTATATACGCGTGGTCTCATTTTTCGGGCCTCGGGGCAGTCAACCATTGATCTGGGACGGAACAGTGCCCCAGATTATTGGCCCGGGGGTCATGGGCTTCGGGCGACGTCAACACACTCTTGCGTGACCTGGGCCCCGGGGCCCTGTCGACCTCGCCCTCGGGACTTCATTCGCGTCGCGGGCCGTTTTTGTTGGCGGTCCTGGCCGCCGGGGCCCGCGTCGCGGTTGATTCTGTGATGCCGGATGTCTGGGTCCTTCAGCGGCGCTGTTAACAGGGACTCACTAACGGGTACTTTTGGGAAAAAATCGGCGGACGTTGCCGCTGCAGGGCCTCTTTCTGGCATTGCAGCGTGGCCCACGTCGGGGAGGGCTGGGTTCGCCGGGCCCCCGGCCCGTCAGTGGAGTCCCCGTTGGAGGGGCGCTGGCTCCCACCACGACGTTCCCGCCATCTCGGGCGTTGCCAAAGGAGTCCCTGGCCCAAGAGGGTGGCCCTCGAGGTTTACCGGGAGGCCCCCGCGGTCTCCAGAGCATCACCCGTCGCGAGGCTCGGAACCCAGGCGTGCGATGGCTGAGTCTTGCAGTGTTCCTCCTCCTGTCTCCCCCTCCTTTTCCTCCTCCTCCTCCCTCCTCCTCCTCCTCCTCCTCCTCCTCCTCCTCCTCCTCCTCCTCCTCCTCCTCCTCCTCCTCCTCCTCCTCCTCCTCCTCCTCCCGTCGTGTTTTTTTGGTCGACGGCGTCCAGGGGCCAGACGGGGGCCCGAGGCCGGAAGCGGCCCAGGCCCAGCCGTCGTGATGTGTGTTTTTGTTCGCGGCGCGGGCACGCGCGGGCAGGCGGCGCGGGGGGCTCCAACTCCTTTGGGCCAGGGCCACCCCTGGCACCCCCCGACCGTGGCGGCACCTCCTCGGGACGACGAGCACCAGGACTGGAGCCGCAGACGGCGAAGGAAAAACGTAAGCGCCCCGCGCGGATTTCTTGGATCCGCGCTGGGCCCCCCCCCCCAGCGGCGCCTCCAAAAAACGTAAGCGCTCCGCGCGGATTTCTTGGATCCGCGCTGGGCCCCCCCAGCGGGTCGCCTCCAGCGCCGCCCCGGGCACGCTCCGCGCGCCGGGGAGGAGGGTCCAGCGCAGATCCAAGAGACCCGCGCGGAGCGCCAAAAGTTTATGTTTGTAGCGTTTTTTCTTCAATTTAGGCCTTCCCAGATGGGGTCGAGCAGGTGGGGTCGGAGGATCGCGTCACATCGCCGATGCATCGGCGGTGCGGCTCGATGTGGAGCCCGATTCTCTCCACTCCGACAGCGCCGACTCATCGCCGATGCGCCGTCGCCGATGTATCGGCGATGCGGCGCGATCCTCCGACCCTATCTGCACCGTGCCCCATCTGGGAGGCCACTAAGTCGGGAGCGGTCACGAGGAAGGTGATGACTCACTTCGTGGGGTTGTGTATCACATGACAACTCCCCTGATTTCATGGCGCCTCTTTTTTTGTTTCCATACGTCCCGTGGCCCCTCCCTGGGCCGCGCACACGCGTCGTGCCACCGCGAGGTCCGACGGTGCGGCACACTCAGGCATGTGAAACAGTCACGACGGGAGCCCTGGATCCCATCCTTTTGCACTTTTCGAGCCGGATCGACCTGCGAGGGCCCATGGGGCCCGGAACGGGGCGGCGTCGGCCAGCTCGACAAGAGTTGAGACGCCAGGATCGCAGGATGAGGGGCCTGTTCTCCACCACCACTACCACAAGTCGGAGGGGGGAAGGAGGAGAAGGACGAGGAGGAGGACGAAAAAGAGGAGGAGGAGGAAAACCCCCTCTCCCTCCAATTCATGGTGGTGGTGGTGGTGGTGGAAAACAGGCCCATGACAGGATTTCTCAGGGCAGGACTTGCGCCCCGCCTCCCCAGACCCCCGACGTCGTGGCTTTCTCGTGACGTTGACCGTCGACCCCCCAGAGGTCTCGGCCCATTCTCCACAGGACCGGCCGTGCCTCCCGCGGCTCGGCGAACGCCCCCAGAGGCCGAGAATAGCAACACAAATCTCCCGCCGTGATTTTTATGTGCATGACCCGAGGGGTCTGTGTTTGAGTCGGGCCTATCCCCCTACAGGGGGAAGATTCAAAAATAGTCGAAGCATAGTCTAGGGACGCTTTTGTTTGATTATTGTTATTGATGTTTCAATACTTTTAGGTGTTTGTTTTTAATTTTCGTCCTAAATCCGCCTGTAGGGGGACATGCCCGACCTAAGTCCAGGTCTTCCCGTCCTCCCCTTGGGACGCCCCCATGTGGAGAACAAGAGGTACCGACACTGCTATTATCCCCGGCGTTCTGCCGACCAGGATTACGATCGAAGACGAAACAACAACACATAAACATAAACTGTCGGCGCTCCGCGCCACAAGTTTATGTTTATGTGTTGTTCTTCTTCTATTCGAGGTGACCCCCGCAGTGGCGACGAGGGCTACCCAGGAGGCCCCAAAAAGGGGGAAACGAGGGAAGGTTAGAGGTATGTTTACCGCTCTCCTCGCCCCCCAAACCAGAGGCGCCGTGATTTTCTCACGACGTCGACCCCCAGAGGTCCGGACCCCTTCCCCCAGACCGGTTCCTCATCCTGAATCGTTTCTGACGCTCCCGAGGCCCGGCGAGGGCCCCCGGAGGCCGCAGATGAAGAAAGACTGGCCGACGTGTCTTTGTCACGCTGCGAGGAGGCCTGCGTCCCCAGAGATCTGATGTCGTGACTTTTTCAACACGGGGCCCCCAGAAGTCCCAACCCTCTCCCCAGCACCGCTTCTCGTCCCGAGCCGTTTTTTGACGGTCCCGGGGCCCGGCGAGGGCCCCCAGAGGCCAAAAACTTGGAGAAACCTCCGTCTTGATTTGTTCAATACGCTGGATCTCTGGGTCTGACCCCCACCGAGGACGGGCACCACCACGACCACCACCCCGGCGCCGCTCGGCGCCTCCAAGGCGCAGCCGGCCGGCGCGCCCGCCTCCGACGGCGGGGCCGCACGGGCCAGCGCCGGGGCCGATGCCGGGCCGGCCGGGCCTGCGCACGACGAGGCCTCCGCGGTAGACTGACGCGGGGAGCGGGGGCCAGGAGGGGGAGGAGGGAGGAGGAGGAGGAGGAGGAGGAGGAGGAGGAGGAGGAGGAGGAGGAGGAGGAGGAGGAGGAGGGGCTGGGAGGTCTCCAGAGTTCCCTGGGTTTCCCGGGATGCACCCGGAGGCATTTGGGCGAGGCCCAGCAGGGGCCGATGCTCGGACCTCCTTCAAGCAGAGGCGAAGCGTCCTGGCGTGCCTATAGGCCTACCAAACAATATTCTAAGAACCTTTTGTGGCTTCCACGAATTGTTCTTAGAACATGTCTGGCCGAGACTGCTTTGTTTTAACACATCGGTTTATGTTCTAAGAGCATTGTTTTTTTGTTATTGGAACATTTTGGGGTTCTAAGAACATTTCGCGGTTGGCCTATAGAAATGCCGGGACGGTCGTTCCCTGCTCAAGAGGGAGGAGAGGGACCCAGAGATCTAACGTGAACAAATAAAGACGAAGATTTTTCGCGGTTGTTGGCCTCTGGGGGCCTTCGCCGGGCCCCGGGACCGTCAAAAATCGACTCGGGACGAAAAACCAGTCCTGGGGAAAGAGTCGGGGTTTTGGGCGACCACGTATTGAAAAAATCATTACATCGGATCTCTGGGGAGAGGTTACGAAAGCGACTCCGGATGGCGAGCCGGCCCCAATGGAGCGGTCGGGAGGTCGGGGGACGCATGGGGCGCAGCCACTGGGGCCTTCGGTGGAGCTCCCCATGGGGCCACGGAACGCCGTGCAGGGTGCGGAGGGCAGAGGCAGGGATGAGAGGGGGGAGGAGGGGGAGGAGGAAGGAGGAGAGGATACGCGGGGCGCTGTCTATGCGAAGCGAGGAGCCAGCCCACCACAGGATGGTTAGGAAAAACTGGGGGCACCTTGGGCCAGGGGCGCCTTCAGCAACCTTCGATCGGCGTCTCCCCAGCATACTATACTATTATGTGCGTCGCCCCCCCAGGTGCGACGCGCGCACCGAGAACTCTCATAGCGTATGCGTTGTCGCGGGCGTCTTCTGGCCACACTGGTCGGGAAACGATATGCTACAAGATGGATATACTGGGCAGTCGGCCCGGATTAGTAGGTCGACCCTGCCAGATCAATCCTGTGTCTTGCGACCCATGCCTCCTGCATTTCTGTGGCAACGTGGCCCTCGGAAGGGTCTTGTGTCCTCCCGCGTGTCCTCTCCAATCAAGTCCGACTGCATGTTCGGATCGGACGCTTGCCTCCAAAGAGGTCGTTTAGTAGTAGTAGTATTAAGTCGGGCATGTCTCATTACAGGAGGAATATTCAAAACATAGTCTGGGACGCTTTTTCTAAAGCATGGATTACTGTTTGGGGGCATCTTTGGGCTACCTTTTATTCTTCGCCCACCATCCGCCTGTAGGAGGACATGCCCGATCTGACATGCGTATGCGTATGTCTCTGTGCATCCCACGCGTCTCCAAGACACCGCGGCGTCGGGCCTCCGGGGAGGGCACTCCCCGGAGATCCCGGCGCTCCAGAGAAGAGAGCGGAGCGGGCGGCGCTGGGCTGGCTGCGGCCTCCGGGGGCCCTCGCTGGGCCGTGTGGGCGTGACGAAACGGTTCGGAGCGAAGCACGGGCGTGACGAATCGAGTCGGAGCGAAGCACAGGGAAGTGGCCCAGTGCTCCGGGGCCCACGCAAACACTGGAGCAGCCGGGTGTCTGGGCCCAGAGAAGAAGGTGAAGGGGGAAGCAGAAATTCACCCGCACCGGACAGCTGGCGTTTTTCCTCAACGGCCCCATGGGCGATTACAAGACAGCCCTGCCCTGTTCGGTTCCTGCGGTGGGGGCGTTTGGTAAACGGCCTCGCGTGTCGGGGTGGTCATTACCCAGAGATCCGATGTCGTGATTTTGTCAATCAATAAGGGGTCCCCGGAAATCCCGACCCCTTCCCCGGGACCCGTTTTTCGTCCCCAGTCGTTTTTTGACAATCCCGAGGCCCGGCGAGGGCCCCCCCGGGGCCGAACACAGCGGAAAATCTCCCGCCCTGATTTTTGTTACGACGCGAGCATGTTTGGGTTCTTGCAGGGGTCAGAGGAGGAAAGAGGTCATGAGCATCGAGTGTCGGCGTTTGTGCGGGTTCCTCGAGAGCGGCGCTGGGCCCCGCGTGGGGCGGCGTGTTTGGCGCCGCCCCTTGCGCGCTCCGCCCGCCAGAGGGGGGTCCAGCGCGGATCCAAGAGCTCCGCGCGGAGCGCCAAAAGTTTGCGTTCACGTAGTCCTTCTAATACCCAGACCTCCTCGCGCAGTGAGAAACGCACGGCGGCGGGTTTTTCGCTATTTTCGCCATCCGGGGTCCTCGCCAGGCCTCGGGACCGTAAAAAACTTTTCAGGATGCAAAACCAGAGTGGGCAAGGGGTCCAGGCCTCTGGGGGTCGACGTCGTGAACAAAATCACGACGTCGGGGGTCTGGGTAAGCATCAACGGAATCTATAGGCCTCCCAGATGGGGTCCGAGCAGATGGGGTCGAAGGCTCGCAGCGCATCGCCGATGCGGCTCGATGTGGAGCCCGATTTCCCCACGCCATCGTCACCGATGCGTCGCCGATGCAGCGGCGATGCATCGACGATGCGCGTGCGATGCGGCGCGATCCTCCGACCCCTTGTGCTCCGTCTCCATGTGAGGTGCCCTTTTACACAAAGAAGCCATGTGGTGCCGTGGAGATCTGGGAGGATGTGGGAAACGGATGGGGATACTAGTCGGGGCGCTGAGTTTGCCTTGGGTTTTTTTCAGGTTTTGGATGGGAAGTCGAAGTTTAACGTATGGAAGAGAGGGCCTCGTTCCTTATGTGTTCATGTAGGGTTCCTCAGGTTAACGCCCCGACTGTCATCCAGGACAGATTGGCGAATAGGCCGGGAGACCGTGAGATCCGACGGCGCGCAAGAATGGAGACATCGTAGAGCATTACGACCGGGGCCCTAGATCCTCCTCTGTCCTGGGCCCCTCTTTTCGAGCTGGGGCGATCTGCGAGGGACCGGAGGCCCGGGGCCGGTGCAGCGCCGGTGCGGCTCGGTGTGGAGCCCGGTGTGCTTCGCGTCGACGTCGTCGCCGATGCATCGCCGACGTCGCCGGTGCTTCGCCAATACATCGGCGATCGGGGATGCGTCCCGAGCATTCTCTTTGGGTGGAAAGGGTGAGGTCTGGAATGCCGTTTCGATGGATCTTCGAGGCCTGAATCTGCAAAAGGCGAATCACAAAACGCCCATGTGGATTTCACCCTGAGCCCTTCACTCTAAGAAAATGCCCAGGCATCGGCGATGTCGCGCGATCCTCCGACGCTATCTTTTGGGACCCCCTCTGGCAGGCCTCCAATCCAGGAATCCGTGTGCCGAGGTGTGCGTGGCTCCCTGGCTTGCCAGCCCGAAGCATGGCTCGGGCGAGGAGTTCTACCAGGGCTGGACCTAAATGGTGTTTTTGGCGATTTCGTGGGCCGTTTTCGTTTCGACTTCGTTTTGAGGTACAGGCGGATTCGATACAAAAGCGAGGGACAACGAAAACGAAACGAAAACGAAAAACACCGTTCAGGTTCAGCCCTGATCTGTACCTGTCCACTGCTCCCTGGCCAGACCCAGCCTGGACTCCCAAGGAGCTATGGATATGGTATACGTCCTGCTGGCCGAGCCAGGAGAGCGTGGCGCATACGCCGCTGCTGGGTTGAGGATGGGCCTGGCCAGGGGCCAGTGGATAATGTGTAGATTCTCGATGAGGGAGAAGCGCCATAAACATAAACTTTTCGCGCTCTGCGCGGACTTCTTGGATCCACGCATGGCCCCCCTCCCCCTGCGGCGCCTCCGGCGCCGCCCCTGGCGTGCTCCGCGCGCCAGGGAGGGGGGGTCCAGCGCAGATCCAAGAAATCCGCGCGGAGCGCCACAAGTTTGTGTTTATGCCGTTTTTCTCTTCCTAGATTTTGTCGCCCTACTACCCCTATTTCTATGACTGGCGTCACCCCATCTCAACGCCGATCTCGAGGGTCCATTCCGTTTCTGGAGGCGCATCCTTGAGATTGCCGTCGCCTTGGGGCGTGTCATTCTCAGGAATGGGGATCAGATCGAGGCTGGTCATGTGCCCCTCCAGGCTGAAGTCGGGCGTGTCCCTCTGCAGGGGGCGAGCATTCAAGAGTGGCCAAAAAATAGCCTGGGGACGTCTGTTTTACTATTTTTGAGCATTTGTCGTCAATTTTTTATTTTCCCTCCAAAACCAGCCTGTAGGAGGACATGGTCGACCCAACTCGAGGCGCCAGCGACCTCGACGGCGCAGCCGCAGGCGGCCACGACCGCCGAGCAGCCGCCGGCGCAGCCGCCGCGCGCGAGTGCCGCCGCAGGAGCAGCCGCTCTGCCCGAGGCGGCCGCTGAGACGACCGCCGAGCCGGGGCCGCCCACGACCACGGAGGCTGCGGAGCCAGAGGCTGTCGGGGCCCAAGAGACGGGGGTCAGTGCAAACGGGGGTCAGCCAGGACACCGGATCCTGCAGGATCCTGCGAAGACCCCTTGTGGTTGACCCGGGTTAGCGAGCCGCTCGTGGCCGCGAGGCGGCCGCGCATATTGGCTGAACCCAGGTTTGCGAAGACCTGCGTTGAGGTTTTTGTTTCCTGCATTGCAGTTTTTTGGTTTCCTGCTGACCTGGGTCTGGATTTAGTCTGGGTCAGGAGATCCCCGAGGCTGCGGAGCTCGTCGCCCAGTCGTGCTTCGTTGCGATGTCTCGGCCCCCGGACCTCCTCGCGTGGTGAAGAAACTCACGGCGGCAGGTTTTTCGTTATTTTCGGCATCCGGGGGCCCTCGCCGGGCTTCGGGACCGTCCAAAAGCGATTCCGGATGCGAAACCGGTCCCGGGGAAGGGGTCCAGGGCTCTGGGGGGCGACGCTGTGGACAAAAGTCACGACGTCGGGGGGGGGGGTCTGGGCTGCGATCTCTCACTTTTCGGACACGCGGAGAGGGGGGTAAGGGGCAGGGGGGAAGGCTTTCTGGAAGCACCCCCGCTACTCAGAAGGCGCGAGCCCGGTCTGCACACGTGAGGCCGGCGCCTGCTGAGAAGCGGCCTCTTTCCCAGAAGCATTTCCTCCTGCCTTATGTCGGGCGTGTCCCTCTACAGGAGGGAGATCTAGAACTAGTTTAAACATAATCTGGGAACGATTCTTATGCGTCGGCGTCGTCGTCGTCGTTTTCGTCGGCGGCGCCTTCGTCGGCAGCGCCGCTGTTCACCCTGGCGGGGCCGGCCGGGTGCGCCCACGCCGTGCCAGCGCGGCCCGCCCCCCCTTCCTCCTCCTCCTCCTCCTCCTCCTCCTCCTCCTCCTCCTCCTCCTCCTCCCCCTCCTCCTCCTCCTCCTCCTCCTCCTCCTCCTCCTCCTCCTTGCAGAGCGATTGGTGTGGAGCGCACCCGGCACATGGTTACTGAGTGCTACACATGTCAAATCCTGGACGGACCTCGAGAGCGACTCCTTGAAGTTCATGCGCCTATGACCGGGCTCCGGCCCGCCCGCGCCGCCCCTAAGGGGCCTGCCGGCCCGCCGGCCGGCGGACTCGCGCGTCTCGTCTCGTCTTGTCTCGTCTCGTCTCGTCTCGTCTCGTCTCGTCTCGTCTCGTCGTCGTCCTCCTCCTCCTCCTCCTCCTCCTTCTCCTCCTCCTCCCCCTCCTTCTCCTCCTCCTTTTTCTCCTCCTCCTCCTCCTTTTTCTCCTCCTCCTCCTCCTTTTCTCCTCCTCCTCTTGCTCCTCCTCCTCTCCTCTTTCTCCTCCTCCTCCTCCTTCTCCTCCTCTCTCCTCTCCCACCTCCCCCACCTCCTCCTCCTCCTTCTCCTCCTCCTTCTCCTCGCTCTCCTCCGATCCGGTCCGGGTGCCTAACTCGATGCCGACCGATCCTATCGCCGTGTCGTCTCGGGCGGGTGGTACTGGGGGGTGGCTTGAATCGGGGTGAAGAAAAGTGCCCCACTGGGGCCCTTCTCTTCTCGGGGCGATCGAAATGGGCACGGAGACACTGGGTACAAAGACTAACAGCAGCTCTTGTCCATCCTGAGCAGGCTTCGCTGTCGGCGTCGCCGCGGTCGTTGTCCATCTAAGACAAAAGGCCGCCTGTCCTACAGCGGGCACTGTCGGTTTTGGACAACTTGTGTTGTTGGGCATCGTACCAATTTGTTCCTTACCCATTTCGGTCGTCCAAATTTTCACCCCTCGTTTGGTTCACCTTCCATGGCCCGCAGAGCTAGCAGGAGGAAGTTCGAGACGCAGGCTTCTTACCTTTCTTCTGCCTCTGGGGGCCCTCGCCAGGCCCCGGGACCGCCAGCGAACGACCTTGGGCGAGAAGCCGCTCCCGGGGCAGTGCTCCAGAGCTCCAGGGACTCCGTATTGTTGAGCAGATCAAGACGGCGGAGGCCTTGGGATGCCCTGCACCGCTGCCCTCCCCCAGTATAGCTTTCTCGCAGTCGTGGGCCTCCTGGGAGCCCCCGTCGCCACGGCCGGATATCGCCGCGCGAGGGCCTGGCGAGGACGCGCCCGGAGAGAGAGGTTCCGCGAGCCTCGGTACTTACCAGCCTGGAACATATCCCTATGCTGGGCATCTCCTCATCACGATGCCAATCTTAGGGATTCCCTTATTTTTTGAGGGCGAATCCCTAAGAGTGTCATCGCCTTTGGGCGTGTCAATCTTAGGGATAGGGAGACGTTCGAGGCTGGTAAGGTACGTCGGGGCCTGTGCTGGTTTCCCCAGGAGCAGCCGCTGGCCTCGCCGGCCTCGCTCTTCTGCTTCTCGCTGGTCGTGCCCTGGACGGACGAGGTCAGGGGCAACGTGAAGACAGGAGGAGGAGGAGGAGGAGGAGGAGGAAGAGGAGGAGGAGGGGGATGATGAGGAGGGGGATGATGAGGAGGGGGATGATGAGGAGGGGGAGGAGGAGGAGGAGGAGGAGGGGGATGATAAGGAGGGGGAGGAGGAGGAGGAGGAGGAGGGGGATGATAAGGAGGGGGAGGAGGAGGAGGAGGCTCGTGTCGTGCCGACGCGGCAGCGGCCTTCCGCCGCGGGAGTTCAAGGTTGATGGGCGCCAGTGGCCCAGAGCCAAGATGGAACGAGCTGGCGATCGAGAGACTGCCGATCGTTCAAGGCGGAGCGTTCCACGCAGTGCCTGGAACCAGCGTCTGGTTCGTCACGGCACGAACATGTACAGCCGGACCGAGGTATGAGATCGAGGTCGGCTCGGGGAGGGTATCCTAGTGCTCTTCGTGTCTGCTGGATGTTCCTTGTGCACTCTGGGGAGGGTACCCTTGGATGTTCTGCTTGATCTTGGGCGACGGACGGTCTCCTGTTCTTGAAGGACGTTCTCTGGCCTGCGTCCGATCCTAGGAGGGTTCTCTCGCAGAAGGAAAGGCAGCATAAACATACACTTTTGGCGCTCCGCACGGATGTCTTGGATCAGCGCTGGGCGCTCCTGACGGCGCCTCTAGCGCCGCTTGGCGCGCTCCGCGCGCCAGGGAAAGGGGTCCGGCGCAGATCCAAGAAATCCGCGCGGAGCGCCCACAGTTCATGTTTGCGCGCTTTTGTTATTATTATTTCTTCTTAGTCTTCTTCTTCCAGTGAGGGTTCTCGAGGTGCGACGATCAGGAGACTGTTTCTTAAGGGTCTGGCGATGGCCCGGGTAATCCGCCCCCTCCCCCCCAGGATAACCTGACCTTGCCGGTTCTGCAGGTCCGGGGTAGGGGGGGCGTGGGCACATGCAGGGCTGCCCACGGCGCGAAGGTCAGGTTATCGGCCGGCCCCCTCCCCCCCCTCCTCAGTACGGGTTCCCTGGCAGTCCCGACCCTTTCCCCGGGACCTGTTTTTCATCCTGAACAGTTTTTTGACGGTTCCAGGGCCTGACGAGGGCCCCCAGGAGCCAAAAACAGCGAAACACCGCCGCCTTGATTTTTTCAGCACGCTGGATCTTTGGGTCCCTCCTCCCTCCTCCCTCTTGAGCAGGGACCGACCGTCCCGCCATTTCTATAGGCCTACCGCGACATGTTCTTAGAACACGAACATGTTCAAAAAACAAAAAACAATGTTCTTAGAATTGGAAAGTCCAGGGTTCGCCAGGGATTGGTTTCCTTTCAAATCAGCCGGAACCCTCCCGAAACCCTCCAGAAAACCTCCGTGGGAGGGTTTTCGGAGGTTTCCGGGAGGGTTTTGGAAGGGTTCTCGTCGCTTCGGGAGGAAACCAGTCCCTAGCGAGTCCTGGGATTCCTAATCTTAGCACCCGAAATGCTCTTAGAACCCGAACTGTTCTCATCGCCGGTTCACAAACATAGAAACGGTCTCCGGGATCTCCGCGCGTCTGCGTCGGTGCGTGCCGCGGCCGCTGGCCGGCAGCGGTCGGGGCTGCCTCTTCGAGGGGGCGGCGCGTCGCCAGGGGCGCCCCACTCGGGGGTGCCCCAGGGTCGGGAGGGAACAAAACACACGGGCACAATGAGTCGTCGATTCCCCAGAAGACACGGGGAAGTATGGGAAGGGGGGGGGAGACAGAGACCCCGAAAGCATGGGAGGATATGGGGAATCTGGTGGTCTGTGTCTATCTATTTTTGTGTGTCCCAGCTCCCCTTCACAGGGGTCGCCCCGAGCGGCCGTGGGAGGCCCGAGGGGCGGCCCGAGAATCCGCGGGGACGGGGATTCGGGATGGGTTGACGTCGGGCCTGTCCCTCTCCAGGAGGAGTGTACTCAGAAGCAGGGCTGGACCTGAGCGGTGTTTTTGGCCATTTCGTGGGCCGTTTCCGTTTCGACTTCGTCTTGCGGTGCAGGAGGACTCGAGACAACAGCGAGGGGCAGCGCACACGAAGCGAACACGAAAAGCACCGTGTAGGTTCAGCCCTGTTCAGACATAGTCAACAAACATAGGCTGGATAGGATTTGGAATCGTAGCCAGACTACACTGAATACGATTAAACATCTGAATGCGATTTAGAATGGATGCGATTGAAAGTCGCATCCGTTGAACATCTGAATGCGATTAAAAATGGATGCGATTCACAGTCGTCTAGATTCAAAACATAGTCAGACATATGAAAAAAACACATGTTTTGAGTATTTTTGAGCAGTTTGGGTGCATTGTGTGAGTATGTTTTATTTTTCCTCCAAAATCCGGCTGTAGGGGAACATGCCCGATCTGAGGATAGGTCGGTCGGCGGAGGGCAGAAAATCCCCCCCCTTCCAGAAGATCCGCCCCCGTAATAGTCGCTCGGAGGCTGATAGACCTCCTACCCTGACACGTCGATTCGCGACTTGGCCGTCTTCGGTTCGCGATGGGGCCTCGCGGCCTGTCACTGTTGTGGGTACCGGTCCGTCGGTTTCGGTCCCAGGCCGTTCTCACTCATCGGGGGCGGAAAAGAGGGGGGTGATGACTAGGGGGGGGTGGATCTCATGGCGGGGGCCATGATGTTTCCCCAGATTTCATGCCGCCTCTTCTTGTTTCATTACGTCCCTGGCCCCCCCGCTGGGCCGCGCACATGCCGCCGGTCATGATTTGCACCCCCCCCTCTTTGACGCCCCCCTCTTTGCCGCTCCCGAACTCAAGGGGTGGCTTACCAGGGAGGCCTGCCCACCGCCGGCATGGCAGTCGCCCCGGCGCGCGCAGCCGCGTAGGGAGCCGCGCCCCCACGGGAGGAGTCGAGCAGGGCAGGGCCGTTTGTGTTAGTTCAGGAGGGGAAAAAACACACAGACAAAATTAATCGTCGATCCCCAGGAAAATATAGGAAAATATGGGAAGTGGTGGGGAAGACAAAAACCCAGAAAATACAGGATAATATGGGACATCTTTTTATTTGTGTGTATTTATTTGTGTGTCCCAGTTTCCCTTCATTAGTAAGCTCCCAGGGCCGTGCAGCAGACACGCCAATCGCTGTGCCGCAGTCGGCCCGGATGAGTAGGTCGACCCTGCCAAAACTCAGAGCGTGAATTACCTACCCCGCTTTCGCTTCCAGACAAGAACAAGTCATACCACGTGCCTCCTCGTCAAGCGGCCTGACCAATACAGGCCGTAGTTTGGCATCACTTGGTATCTCTTGGACGCGAGGGTGGTCTAAAGCGAGGTAGGTTTGTTTGCCTCGTAAAAACAAGGGTACCCTTGTGTCTCGTGTCTCGCGACCCGTGCCTTCTTGCATTCCTATGGCGATGTGGCCCTCGGGAGGGGTCTTGTGTCCTCTCGCGTTTCCTGTCCACTGAAATCCGACTGTACTGTGTCCGGGTGGTGCCGCCTCCCTGGCATAGGCTCAGGAAAGAGCGCATCGACCCCGAACGGCCCATGCATCGCCGAGGACTTGGCATCGCTCGGACGTGTGCATCTTTCCTTCTGCGAGGACCATCGAGGAGCATCCTTGATCATTTGGCGAAAAACCCACGCACGACACCGATCAAACACAGGGAATGGACGTCCGAGCATGGCGAGAGGAGCGCATCGACCCCCTAACCGCCCATTCATCGCCGACGAGCCCGACGGCCACTCCGCCCAGGAGAGTGCCGATTCGCTGTCGGTCCAGGTGGTTCTTGCTTCCCTTAGGCTCAGGGGGGAGCGCCTCGACGCCCCAACCGCCCCTTCGTCGCCGAGGAACCAGAGTGCCGGTTCGCTGTCGGGGGGGGGGGCCAGCGCCGATCCGTTGGCGACGCAGCGCTGGTTCCAGGTCGATGCCCACCCCCTCTGAGCCAGCCCCCCCCTGCTATCCCAGACGTTCGAAGTCCAGGCCCTTTCCCCAGGGCCGTTCTTTTGTTCTGGGTTGTTTTTGACGGTCCAGGGGCTGGGCGAGGGACCCTGAAGGCCGACAACGGCCGAAAGGTGTGGGCGAAGAACATCTCCGTGTCCGCGGCCTCGCGGGCTGGGCCCTTTGGCCGAGACCCCGCGGCTACGGGGCGTTTCTTCGCGGATGCCCGGCGCGGAACGTATCCGTGCGACTGCGTGACCGCGGGATCGCGCCCAGAATTCATAGTGAGCGGCTTGAGTACGGAACACGTATTTTTCAAAAGGTGCTCGATCATTTCTTAGGTTTGAATGCGTTGTTTATCGCTCATTATGCGCCGTGTATTATTTGTCGTTCCTTATGCGTTATTCCTTGGAATAAAGGGGCGTCGTTCCTTATTTATCGTCCCTCAGGTCAGGCCGATGACTGTACCGCGAGAGAGCGTGGAGAAGTGCGGATGCGTTCGCCGCTCGTGCGCATGCCTTCGGTCGTTTTCTGTTGTTTCTCGCCTCGAGCACGTTTTGGGCCGCGGCCCCTCGCGAGAGGGGGCCCTGCTGGAGCTGCAGCAGCGGCGAGGGGTGGGCATCTTCGCGTGCGACGGCACCGCGGTGTACAGCAACCCCGGGGGCCGCCACGGGGAGCTGGACACGGTGGGCCCCTGTTCCACCACCACTGCCACAGGTAGGAGAGGGAGGAGGAGTAGGAGAAGGAGTAGGAGTAGGAGTAGGAGTAGGAGTAGGAGTAGGAGTAGGAGTAGGAGTAGGAGTAGGAGGAGGAGGAGGAGGAGGAGGAGGACGAGGACGAGGACGAGGACGAGGACGAGGACGAGGACGAGGAGGAGGAGGAGGAGGAGGAGGAGGAGGAGGAGGAGGAGGAGGAGGAGGAGGAGAGGGTGGAGGAGGAGGAGGAGGAGGAGGAGGAGGAGGAGAACCTCCTGATCCTCCCTTCTCCCCCGTCCTACACATGGTGGCGGCGGCGGGAAATTCTGCCCGTCAGGACACGAGGCTGGTGGACATCGACTTGCACTGCGAGCGGGGTGGCCTGTGGAGCTCGGGGGGCCTCCCAGAGGGGGGTCCGAGCAGGTTGTCAAGTCGAGCACGCCCCTCCACAGGAAGAGGATTCAGAGGCAGTAAATCCAGCCTGGGAGCAATGCTTCTATGATTTGTGGGCATGTTCTGAAGATGTCTTGAGTATAGGGATGACGCCCTCGACCCAGGAATATCCCCAAATAGTCAAACACTAGTCTGGGGGCCATTTCTCGACCATTCGGCTACTTTTACTTCCGTCCCAAATCCGCCTGTAGGGGGGACACGCCCGACCTGAGAACAGGTGTGGTCTGAGGATCGCGCCGCATCGCCGATGCATGGGTGATGCGGCTCGATCTGGATCCCGCTTTCCGTCATGTCGACGTCGCCGAGGCACCGCCGACATCGCCGATGCATCGGCGATGCGGCGCGGTCCTCCTGGCCCACGTGCTCGGACCCCAGACGGGAGGCCTCCATCGGGCGAAGAGAACTATGCACATGCACCGATCCTGGCAAGGCCCATCCTTGACCCAGGATCGGTGCATATGCCTTCCTGGCCAAGGCAGGAGGGCGTGTGCACCGATCCTGGGCTCAGGATGGGCCTGGCCAGAATCGGTGCATGTGCATGGTTCTTTTTCCTCTACCTCCAGGAACACGATGATGAACACGCCCATCTTTGCCAAACTCTGGAGCTCGGGAGGGAGGAAAAGTCGGGAGGGCGAGCCGAGGCAGCGGGCACGTGGCCCATGGAGGGGGCCCCTGGTCGCCACGGCCGGACGCGGCGCGGAGAGCCTGTGCCTGTGGACCCCGGCAGGGGTTCGGGGGCCGTGAGTGTCGGGGGCGGCAGAGAGGGGGGTGGTGACCAGGGTCAGGAGGGGAAAAGACACACAGACACAACTCATCGTCGGTTCCCAGGAAACTATGGGAAAATATGGGAAGTGGGGGGGGGAAGACAAAAACCCAGAAAATATGGGAAAACATGGGGAATCTTTTTATTTGTGTGTATTTATTTGTGTGTCCTGGGGCCCCTTTACAGGGGGGGGGGGGGGGAAATCATGGCGGGGGCCATGATATCTCCCCAGATTTCATGGCGCCTCTTCGCATTTCATTGCGTCCCTGGCCCCCCCGCTGGGCCGCGCACATGCCGCCGGTCATGATTTGCGCCCCCCCCCCCCCCCCTCTTGGACACCCCCCTCTTAGCCGCCCCCGAGAGTTGCTGTTGTCTGAACGGCGGCGCCGTTCATGTTGCGAGGTCCGACTGCATGTGAATTCATGCAGGCACCTTGTGCACCTCCCTTCGGGTTGTGTCGCCCAGGTGTTCTGTCCAGGCCCCCAAAAACACCGTTGTCTGAACTCGCCATGGGAGATCTCGAAGAAGACATTTGCATGATCACAAACTTGCGGCGCTCTTCGCGGACGTCTGGAAGTTTCTATTGTCGTGCCACCGTGTGTTTCTAACCCTGGAGCGAGCATCCACGACACTGGTTCCGTGGGGAGCCCGCCGGCGTGTCTTTCTCTTGCTTCTGTCCGGATGATGCCGTGTGTTTCCCTCTGGGGCAGCGCGCACATGGGCGCCCTACGGCTGTGGAAGTCGCTTAATGGAGAGGAAGCATGCTGCTAAATACTTTCCAGATGTCTTAAGAGATGTGTCACACATGTTTTGAGCTATGTAAAAAACAGGTTTGGAACCTGTTTAACGCTTCTTATACATTTCAAGACACATCTTTCATTCAGTGATAGGATTGTTAGAGTGTCCATTGCCCTGGCATCCACAACCCTACGGCGATGTGTCGTCGATGTTGCTCTTTCTCTCTCTCTCTCTCCCTCCTCTCTCTCTCGCCCAGGAACACCGTCGTCCAGGACGGCCAGTTCAAGGCGCACGCCTGGACGGCGAAGACGGACCCCGACACGGTCTTCCTGCCCGACGTCCTGAAGTCGATCCTGCAGTCGCCCGACTACCCCCTCGACCGGGCGCAAGAGAACAAGGGCCAGTTCCTGAACGGCTGCTTCATCGGCCTCCACGGCCCCCTGGAGGTGCTCTCCCGGAGAGCGCTCGAGGTGTACGGGGAGGGCAACGAGGATCGAAGAATAGACAACGGCGCACACACGCACACACACATACACTCAGGAGCGAAAAACACACAGACACAATTAATCGTCGAAGCCCAGAACATATGGGAAGATATGGGGAATCCCGTTGTTTGTATATATTTGTTGTGTGTCCCAGGGCCCCTTCGTACACACGCTGACACGCTCTTTTGGCGGAAAAGCGGCCTCGCGCTCGGCGACAGGGCGGGGTCAGCAGAGCACCAAGCGTGGGGTCGCTGCCAGGCCCATCAGGAATCGCTGTGGATCTCCCGTACAGCACCCGCCGAGGAGGCACTGACACACACACACAAACACAGACACACACACACACACTGACACATGTACGCACATGCATTCACACACACGAACACTAACACGCACACACACACACACACACGCACACGCACACGCACACGCACTCGCACTCGCACTCGCACTCGCACTCGCACTCGCACTCGCACACGCACACACGCACGCACGCACGCGCACGCGCACGCGCACGCACACGCACACGCACACACGCACGCGCACGCGCACACGCACGCGCACGCACGCACGCGCACACGCACGCACGCACACGCACGCGCACACGCACTATCGGGGGCCCATCGCCGATGCATCGGCGGGCGATGCATCGCCGATTCCTCGTCGGCGCTCCCTCCCCCCCCGGAGCCGCCGGGCCCCCCCTGGCGTTGTGCCTCGACGTCGGGAGGAGGTCCGCGCGGAGATATCCTGGATCGGCGCTGGACCCTCCGAGCCCCAACATCGGGGACGAATCGCCGACTCCAGGTCGACGCTCCCCCCCCCCCTGATCGGCCACGCGCACGGGGGGGGTGGGCGGAGGGGGGAGGGCTTTTTAGAAGCAGACCTGCTTCTTAGATGGCGCGGGCCTTGTCTATAGGTGTGAGGCCGCCGCCTTCTAAGAAGCAGCCTCCTTCTCAGAAGCCTTCCCCCGTCACTCCACCCCCTTGTGCGCGCCGCCAACCTGAGCCGCCGGTCCCCCCTGACGTTGTGCCTCCACGTCGGGAAGTCTGCGCGGATGTCTTAGAGACCAGTGCCGGACCCCCACAGTCCCACAGCGCGCCCGTGGCGCCGCAGAGGGTGTCCGACACCAGCCGAAGAAGCCGTGCGCATCTCCCGAATCGGCGGCAAGCGAGGGGGAAGCGAGGAGAAGAAGGCCCTCTCAGCAGGAGGAGAAGGCCCTCTCAGGGGTTCGAGGTTCGAGGTTTTCGGGTGCTTTTGTCGGTTCTCGGCGGTGTCATAGCCTCGTCCCGAACGGCCGCTGGAGACCCGAGTCATGACCCAAAACTCAACTTCGGCGGCGAGTGAGGGGGAAGCGAGGCAGGCGGATCGGGCCCTCTCAGCAGGCGGCGGAACTTCTCAGAAGCCCTTGCGCCTTCGCAGATGTTGTTGTTTGTGTCTGCGGGGAAGGCTGATAGAACACTTCTCAGAAGGCCTCCGCCTTCTCGCTTCCCCTCCTCGCTCGCCGCCGACGAAGGGCAGTTGCTTGGGGCTCCTCCGGAGGAGTGCGGCCAGCCGGTGGAGGAGGACGTGTACATCCGAGGCTGCCTGCAGTTCCTGGGGGTGTTCCAGCAGGACCAGTTCGACATCCCCCCGTGGTCCGGCGGCTGGCACCCCTGAGGGCCAGGGGGGCCCGGGCGTCGGCGCCGTCCAGCGGGCCGTCCAGGGTCCGTCCCGGTTCGATGGGTGCGATCCCAGAGAGCCAACGCCTTGAAGACATCAGGACGGAGATTCCTCTAGGTTTTGGGCCTCTGGGGTCCCTCGCGGGGCCCTTGGGACCGTCCAAACACGATGCAGGGCGAAAAGCCGGTCCCGGGGAATGGGTCGATACTTCCGGCTAAACCCTAAACCCTAAACCCTAAACCCCGTATGGAAGAAATCACGACATCGGGTCTCTTGGGTTCGGTGCGGTCGGACCGGGGTGTAAGATCGCGGTCGGTTCCGGGAGGGGGCCCCAGTGTTCATCGTTCTTGGTTCGGGGGCGGCCAAGGGGGGGGTGATGACCAGGGGGGGGTGGATATCATGGCGGTTGCCATGATGTTTCCCCAGGTGTCATGGCGCTTCGCTGGTTTTTGTTATTTGGAACCCCTGCTGCTTCTGGGATAATCATGTGTATATGCTATTCCGTCCGTTATGTAAAGTGCTCTCAGGCTGAAGCGCCTGTCAGGTATGATCGGAATTTCTTTGTGCTTCGGAACCTGTCATAACTCTGGATGCTATTATGCAAAACCTTATTCTCACTCCTGGGTTTCAATGTGCAACTTCCTCTCCGACCCAATTATTTAGTCATTAGTATTCGCGTTTCTGGGTGATTCGGATTCTGTTCCATGTCTGGATCTTAATATGTAGCTCTCTCTCCAGCGTTGGATTTCAATGTGTACATATCTCTTCCATGCACAGTTCTGGCAAGTATGATTTTGTTTATGTGATTCGAGATCCTCTGTCTATGTCTGCAATCCATATGGTCCTTTGCTGTCTTTATGTCAATGTGTAAGTCCACTTCCAACTCGGCTCCATGGCAATGATGATTTGAACTCTCCGTAACGTGGAGTCCCCTCTCTCTCTGGATTCTAACGTGCAGTATCTGTTTGAACCTTGAGTTTCAATGTGTAGATTCCAGTCCAACGCAGTTCCCTGGCATTTCTTGTTTGAAGTTCGAAATCATGTTATATCTCTGGGCATAACTGTGTAGAATCCTGTCTACCGCTAGATGTCCACACGTAATTCCTGTCCAGCTCACTTATCTGGCCGTTCTGATTTTAATTTCTGTGTGATCCGGAATCCTGTCGAAATATTGATTATTCGGTCTAGAGGACTAGAGTTCTGGATTACAATATGTAATATGCTTGCTTGAACTCTTCTGCGATTCGACATCATTCCCAGCTCTTGATTTCAATATGTAGTATATTTTCTCACTCTGGATTTCAATATGTACATTTCTCTCCGAGCCATTCTGGCAATTCAGATTTGAGTTCTCGGTGATCAGGAATCCGCTCTAACTTTGAGTTTAATTGGTGAAACCTTTCCAGACTCCACAAATCAATAGTTTGATTCCTCCCTAACTGGACTATTTGCAATTCTGATTTGAATGTGTTCCCTCCTAAGTCTGGACTTCAACGTGCGAATTCCTCTCCAACTCAGTTTTCTGGCAATTCTGATATTGGAATTTCTTTATGATTCAGAATGCATTTTAAGCTTGAAAAAGCGCTTGCTGTGGTTTCGCTTGTAGGGCCCGTCGTCGTCGTCGTCGTTGCTGGCGTCGTGGTCGGCGTCGTTGTCGGCGTCCGCGTCGTCGTCGACGTCGTCGGCGTCGGCGTCGGTGTTGGTGTCGGCTCTGGGCTTCGGCATCGGCGTCGTCGTCGGCGTCGTGCTCGGCGTCGTGCTCGGCGTGGTGCTCTTCGTCGGCATCGGCGCCGGCGTCGGCGTCGTCGTCTGCGTCGGCGTCGATGGCGTCGTACTCGGCGTCGTGCTCGGTGTCGTCGTCGTCGCCGGCGTCGGTGTCGTGCTCGGCGTAGTCGTCGTCGTCGTCGTCGTCGTCGTCGTCGTCGTCGTCGTCGTCGTCGTCGTCGTCGTCGTCGTCGTCGTCGTCGTCGTCGTCGTCGTCTTCGTCGACGTCATCGTCGTTGTCGGGTTCGGCGGCGTCGTCGTCGGCGTCGTCGTCGACGGCGTCGTCGTCGTGCTCGGCGTCGTGCTCGGCGTCGTGCTCTTCGTCGGCGTCGGAATCGGTGTCGTCGACCCCGTCGGCGTCGGCGTCATCCTCGTCGACGACGGCGTCGGCGTCGTGCTCGGCGTCGTGCTCGGCGTCGGCGTCGTCGGCATCGATCCCAGCCTCGTCGTCATCGTCGTCGTCGTCGTCGTCGTCGTTGTCAGCGTCGCCGTCGTCGTCGCCGTCGCCGTCGGCGTCGGCGTCGGCGTCGGCATCGTCGTCGCCCTCGTCGTCGTCGTCGTTGGCGCGTCCTCGTCGTCGTGGTTGTCTTCGCTGTCGGCGCCGCCGCTGTCGTGTCGTCGTCGTCGTCGCCATCGTTGTCGTCGTCGCCCGCCCCCCCCCCTCCCCCGTGTCCAAGGAGGGGTTTCCCCCCCCTCTTCGGGTTCGAACCGGGGGGAGAGTTTACCCCCCTCCGGTTTCCCGAGCCATCTTTAAAAAAGCAAGGGCCCGCGAAACGCGCTCTCCAAGAAGTTTCGAACTTGACGTGTGAAGTCATGTCTACCTTTGTATTTACATCTGCAAATTCGTCTCCAATTCAATGATCTGGCCATTCTGATTTGGATTTCTCTGCGATTCGGGATCCGACTATCGTTTTGCGCAAATCATGTAGAGGAATGTTGCATCTGTGCGTTTCAACATGTAATGTCCTTGCTAACTCAATTCTCTGACAGTTACGGTTTGAAATCCTCTGCGGTTCTGAATCCTTTCTCAAACTCCAAATTTTAAACGTGTAGAATCTTTCATCGTGTTGGATTCCAATACGAAGTCCATCTCCAACTCCGTTATCTGACCATTATGTGTTGAATTTGTTTGTAGGTCGGAATTCTTTGCAACCCTGGGTTGTAATGGAACACCCTGTCCGATTTCGGATTTCAAGATGTAATTTCCTATCGAACTTAGTTTTCTGGCACTTATGATTTGAATGTCTCTGTTCTTCGGTATCCTTATTCTAATTAGGAGTTTAAGTGCGACAATGTATTTGTTTATTGGGGTTCCAACGCTTAACTTCCACTCCGACTCAATTTAGTGGCAGCTCTGATTTGAGTTTCGCTGCCGTTCGGAAGTATGTGAAATTCTCGATTGCGACTTACGAAATATGTTCGAACTTTAGGTTTCAATATGTTTGTTCTTCCACGATTCAATTCTCTGGCGAATCTTGTTTTGATGTCTCTGTGATGCGACATCCGTCGTGAATGTGGATGCAACATGTGTAGCACCCTTATGACTTTGGATGTCTGTACACAACTTCCCCTCCAACATTCGGAGTTCTTATCTCTAGCACTCTTCGGAATTAAATTCCTCGGTGCTCAACTTTGGCTTTCAATGGGTAAACTCCTTTTTCAAGTTTGGATTTAAAGATGTACATTTGCGTTCAATTCGAATCTCGGACCATTCGGATTTAAATTTCTCTGTTTTCGGGGTTGAGTCGAACCTGAGGTTTCGATGTAAACAAGAATTCTCTTACTCTGGATTTCAATATGTCAGTTTCTCTCGAAATCAATTATCATGATTATTCAGAATTGATGTTTTCTGTGATTCGGAATCTTCATCAATTCTGGATGTTGATGTGAGAAAGTCTGTAGATCTTTGGACTTCACTATGCAACTTCCTCCTCCACCTCAGTTCTCAGGCAATTCTGGTTGGACTATGTCTGTGATTCGGAATCCATTCGAACTTTTGGAATTTAGTGTGTTTACCAGCATGTCTGAATCTGGAATTCAATATGTCAACCCCTCTCCAAATCAATGAATCTGGCCGTTCTGACTCGAATTCCTCTGAGTTTCGGCATCCTTTTCAACTATGATGTTTTATATGTGACACCGTGTCTAATTCAATTGTGGTGGAGATTCCCCGGAGACTCCGAACCCATTCCACCCTGGTCGTCCGCCGAGCGCCGGCCAAGTCGCGGTTACAGCATGCCCGCCAGAGGTGAATATTTGTGGCAGTGCTTACAGCACAGCAGCCGAATGAAATGCTCAACGAGTTCGTATCGCAGCGGAAGCAGTGCATGGTATACGTTCGCCTCGGCCTTGCGGGGACGCGCATCATAAGTATGTTCTTCTGCGTTCCGTAACCGTCCAGAAATCCCAATTTTCGACCCTCCTAAATGTGATCGTTGTTTTATCTGTTGTGCTGCTGATCGGCGCGGGTCCTCGCACCCCCCCTTCCCCCCCATGGAGTATATCTTGGTTGTTTTTGGCGCCTGCTTCGAGCAGGTGGAGTCTCCTCGCTAATCGACGCACTGTTGCAACCAGTCGCATTGAGCCAGAGGTCTGGAGCCAGCCCCTCCCCTTCCCTTTTCGCTCGATGTCGAAGCGCCGAAGGATAAAGCGCTCACACTCCTCGACCTCCGACGCTCTCGCTCTGCCCCCTCGGGTCAGACGTGTCTTACCTGCCCCCCTCCCCGCTTGACTTGGGCCATGGCATCCCAGTCCTTCCTCTCCCGCCCAGACGGGGCAGCCGGCCCGCGGAGCCGATGCCACGCCATGTGGGGCGAGGGATCGGCCGAGCGGTGCCTGCTCGGGAGTGGGCCGACCGACCACGGGCGCGTCCTCGACGAGAGGGACTGCGCGAGGGACGGCAACTTCCAGTCCCCCGACTGGCACGATTGCGCAGCGAGAGGAAGAAACAGCGGCACAATCAGACACCGTCGGCGGAGAACACGTCCGCAGCCGCGGCGCCCGGGGGTCGGGCCCCATGGGCCCCGACCTCGCGGGGACGCCCGGCGTTTTTTTCGCAGGCGCTTTGCGCGTACCGTGTGCGTGCGGCCCCGCATCCGTAGGGTCGCGCCCACGAGTCCAGGCCGCGATCGCGCGGATACGGACATGTTCGCCGCTCGTGGATCATCGGGCCGGACGAAAGGGGGGAGATAGTGAAAGGGGGGGTTACGAAACCTGCTGCATGCAGCTGGTTC